TCCCTTCATGCTAAAAACACTCAATAAACTAGGTATTGATAGAAAGAGTGAATCTCAAAATAATAAGAACTATTTATGACAAACCCACAGCCAATATCATACTGAATGGGCAAAAACTGAAAGCATTCCCTTTGAAAACTGGCACAAGACAAGGATGTCCTCTCTCACCACTCCTATTCAACACAGTATTGGAAGTTCTGGCCAGGGCAATAAGGCAAGAGAAAGAAATAAAGGATATTCAAATAAGAAGAGAGGAAGTCAAATTGTCTCTGTTTGCAGATGACACAATGGTATATTTAGAAAACCCAAAAACTCCTTTAGCTGATAAGCAACTTCACCAAAGTCTCATGGTACAAAAATCAATGTACAAAAATCACAAGCATTTCTATGCACCAATAACAGACAAACAGAGAGCCACATCATGAGTGAACTCCCATTCACAATTGCTACAAAGTTAATAAAATACCTAGGAATATAACTTACAAGGGATGTGAAGGACCTCTTCAAGGAAAACTACAAACCACTGCTCAAGAAATTAAGAGAGGACACAAACAAATGGAAAAACATTCCATACTCATGGTCAGGAAGAATCAATATCACAAAAATGATCATATTGCCCAAAGTAATTTATAGATTCAATGCTATTCTCATCAAGCTACCATTGACTTTCTTCACAAAATTGGAAAAAAACACCTTAAATTTCATATGGAACCAAAAAAGAGCCTGTATAGCCACGCCAATGCTAAGCAAAAAGAACAAAGCTGGAGGCATCATGTTACCTGACTTCAAACTACACCATAAGACTACAGTAACCAAAACAGCATGGTACTGGTACCAAAACAGATATATAGACCAATGGAACAGAACAGAGGCCTCAGAAATAATGCCACACATCCACAACCATCTGATCTTTGACAAACCCTACAAAAAGAAGCAACAGGGAAAGGATTCCTATTTAATAAATGGTGTTGGGAAAACTGGCTGGCCATATGCATAAAACTGAAACTGGACCCCTTCCTTACACCTTATACAAAAACTAACTCAAGATGTATTAAAAACTTAAATGTAAGACCTAAAACCATAAATACCCTAGAAGAAAACCTAGGCAATACCATTCAGGACACAGACATGGGCAAAGACTTCATGACTAAAACACCCAAAGCAATGGCAACAAAAGTCAAAACGGACAAATGGAATCTAATCAAACTAAAGAGCTTCTGCAGAGCAAAAGAAACTATCATCATAGTGAACAGGTAACCTACATAATGGGAGAAACTTTTTGCAAACTATCCATCTGACAAAGAGAGGGCTGTCAGAATTTACATGGAACATAAACAAATTTACAAGAAAAAAACAAACCCATCAAAAAGCAGGCAAAGGATATAAACAGATACTTTTCAAAAGAAGACATTTATGTGGCCACAAACATATGAAAAAAGGCTCATCATCACTGTTCATTAGAGAAATGCAAATCAAAACCACAATGAAAAACCATCTCACACCAGTTAGAATGGCAATCATTAAAAACTCAGGAAACAATAGATGCTGGAGAGAAACAGGAGAAACAAGAACGCTTTTACACCGTTGATGGGAGTGTAAATTAGTTCAACCATTGTGGAAGACAGTGTGGCAGTTCCTCAATGATCTAGAACCAGAAATACCAATAAATCATTCTACTATAAAGACACATGCACACATATATTTATTGCAGCACTGTTCACAATAGTGAAGACTAGGAATCAACCCAAATGTCCATCAATGATAGACTGGATAAAGAAAATGTGGTATATATATACCATGGAATACTATGCAGCCATAAAAAAGGATGAGTTCATGTCCGTTGCAGGGACATGGACGAAGCTGGAAACCATCATTCTCAGCAAACTAACACAGGAACAGAAAACCAAACATCACACATTCTCACTCATAAGTAGGAGTTAAATGATGAGAACACATGGACACAGGGAGGGGAACATCACACAATGGGGCCTGCTGGGGGGTTGGGGATTAGGGGAGGAATAGCATTAAGAGAAATACCTAATGCAAATGATGGGTTGATGGGTACAGCAAATCACCATGGCAAATGTATACCTCTGTAACAAACCTGCACGTTCTGCACACGTATCCCAGAACTTAAACTATAATAATTTTTTAAAAAAGAGCAAGTAGAAAAAATAAGTAAATAATCAGATGAACCTGGAATAGAGTCAGTCTTTCTAAGCACTAAAGGTAGAAATAATGAAGAAAAAGATGGATTTTATTCATTAAGAAATGTACAAAAGGGTTTACGATTTTTCAAAAAAAAAACAAAAACAAAAAAGGAAGCTACAGTAATATAAAAAAACTGCAATCATACACAACACAGTAAGCATTGATAATCAGAACAGATACAAAGCTCCAAGTTAAAGGTCAATTTGGTGATAAAAACTGATCAGAGTTAGCGGAAGAAGCAGTATTTTAAAAAGCGCTACAGAAGACCTATAAACTTGTGAAAACTGTTCTACTTAAATAACCAAAACATGATGTCAAGTAGAAATTCTCATTCGCAGGTGGTGGGTGCACCATTTCTGAAGGACAATTGTATAATATGTATAAGGCTTAAAATGGATATATCTTTATCTCTTGACTAATAATTTTAGGGCTAAGAATATATCCTCAGGAAATTATTATGAATGTATGATATGGTTTAGTATATTCATTTAGTATGATGAATATACTAAACCGTATATAGAATATACTATCTATAATAGTGATAAATGGTAATAATTTAAACGGAAATGAATAGAGAAATGAGAGAATAAAATATAAAGTAAGAATGAAGCACTATGCATAGCTTTAATATGCTACACAAAAACAAGTATAGGTAAAGAAAAATGCTAAAGATATAAGTTTTTACAAGGTCAATAAATACTAGTCATAACAAAATTTATTTTAAAATATATGCTTTGCCTGTGCACATCGCTATGTTCCCCAAAAATAAAAAAAAATAACAGTATTGTTTGGTTACAGATGATTTTTGCTCCTGTTTTTTTTTTTTTGTATTACACTATGTGAATTTCATTCAACCAGCTTCTATTATTTATGTTACTAATAAGAAAGTAATGGTTTTCAAAGTATACTGCATGAGGAAGATAACATTTCCTTGAAAAACTTAAATTTAAAAAAAATAAAGTTTGGTGTCTTTGTTTTGCATTCATCCACAATACGCCAACGACTTGGAATGTTCATTTCCCTCATACATTTCTTTTTTTCACTTCCTTTACATGCACACAGCTCATGGCATGATCACACTTTTCATGAGCTTTTCTCTAAACTGAGAATAGTCTTTCCAGTGTCTACTATCTTGACTTTCTCCCAGCTGTCATCTCCACAGAGCATTCAAAGTAAGCAGGAGTTGTGCTGCCCCACAACCTCTCAGCATCTTCTCCTCAAGGCCCGCTGCAAACATCTGTAGAGCTGTAGAGGGTGTCAAATTGATACTTATGCCTTTATATAAACATCAGTCACAGTATTGATCATTTCTATTCCGTACTTCCGTCTAATATACTTGCTTCTTTCTCAGGAAATAGATTTAGGAAAACATAATGCCTTGTTAAAAGAGCCACTCATGTTCCATTCAATTGTCTACCGCAGAAGACAGAACTGGCAAATCAACTTTCTAATCTCTGTGATTTCAAAGTATAGGGCTAAAGAAAACTCTTGTATTGATTTTTACAATTCTGTTCTCACATTCTTTACATCTGTTAGTTTGCAATAGAAAGATTAGTTATTGGTTTTAAAATGTTTTAAAAAAGAATTAAACTCAGTGCAATTCCTTGTAAATACTCTGTAAATATAATGTCAGATTTTGAAGGTAGTGAATTATGCTTTTAAGTAGTATATAAACATAATATCTATAAAGGTCTCGATGATCCATGAATGTAATGCTTTTGGAATCAAGATAAAAATATCTTAATAAAAGAGCTGTTTTACAAATAACCCCATTGAAAGTGGGCAAAGGAAATGAACAGACATTTCACAAAAGACATACCAGCAGCCAACAATATATGAAAAAATGTTCACCATCACTAACATTAGAGAAATGCAAATTGAAACCACAATGAGATACCATTCACACCATTCAGAATGGTTATTATTCAAAGTAAAAAAATAGATGTTTGCAAGATTACAGAGAAAAAGGAACACTTTTACACTGTTGCTGGAAATGTAAATTAGTTCAGCCTCTGTGGAAAGCAGTTTAGAAATTTCTCAAAGCACTTCAAACAGAATTAACATTTGACTTAGAAATCCAATTACTAGGTATATATGCAAAGGAAAATAAACTGTTCTACCAGAAAGACACATGCACTCATATGTTCATCGACACTATTCACAACAGCAAAGACCCGTCAGCAACCTAGGTGCCCATCAATGGTGGATTGGATAAAGAAAATGTGGTATATATACACCATGGAATATTACACAGTCATGAAAAAGAATGGTATCATGTCCTCTACAGCAACATGGATGCAGCTGAGGGCCATTATCCTAAGTGACTTAATGGAGAAATGGGAAACCAAACATCACATGTTCTCACTTGCAAACGGGAGCTAAACATTGGGTATGCATGGCCATAAAGATGGGAATGATAGAAACTAGGGACAGTAAAGGGGTCAGAAACAGAGGGAGGTATGAGCTGAAAAACTACCTATTGGCTACTATGCTCACTATGTTGGTGATGGGATCATTCATACCCCAAATCTCAGCATCACACAATATATCCATGCAACAAACCAATACATGTACCCCTTAATCTAAAAGTAGAAATTACAAATAAAATAAAATACAATCATTGTTTTAAAAATATTGTTTCTTAGGACAGAGAAGGGGAAAAACAATGCAAAAAAGAAAAGGCTAGATTTAATATGAAATGGAGGGACATGGTATCCACCTAGATCGCCCAGAACAAATGCCACATTACACCGGCATCATGCTGGTGTTTCATCTGAACTACAACTTACTTTAGCCCAGGAAATCTCTGTATCCAAGTCACCAAGCAGACCTTCTGAAGTGGACTTCTGTACCAATTCAGTTTCAGTAGCAGAAAGCCATTCAGAGAGAGATGCAGCCTCTTTCTTCATTTTGCGGGCCAACTGTGAGGCTCTTTCTAGATCCTGTTTTCCTTCTGTCACCTGAGAAGAAGAGAGAGACAAGGAGAGACTGAGACTGAGATGGAAATGAACCAGAATGTTAACTAAAGATCCAAACTGATTCATATTTAACCCCCAAGACGTACATAACCTTTGTCTGTAGCACCTTAGAAAGCCTCTAAGCTTGCATTTCTGTAAGGAGGCAACATACTGTAGTGGTTAAATGCCAGGCAATCCTGGGTTTTCATCTTAGCGCTACCATTAATTTCCTAAGTGACTCTGATAGAGGTGTAGCCCTCAAAAGATTGGCATGCGGCTGGGCGCAATGGCTCATGCCTATAATCCCGGCACAGTGGGAGACCAAGGTGGGCAAATCTCTTGAGTCCAAGAGTTTGAGATCAGGCTGGGAAACATGGAAAGACCTCACCTCTACAAAACCTACAAAAAATTAGCCAGTGTGGTGGTGAGCGCCTATAGTTCCAACTACTCTGGAGGCTAAGGTGGGAGAATCACTTGAGCCCTGGAGACTAGGGCTGCACTGAGCCGTGATCCTGCCACTGCACTCCAGCCTGAGCAACAGAGCAAGATCCTGTCTCAAAAAAAAATTTTTTTAAAGATTGTTATAAGTATTAAGTGAGAAAAACACACACAAAAAGGGCTGAAATAAAGTTAAAAATCACTAAATGGTATCTATTATAATTTTGAACACAAGATATCTTAGAATCCTCTCCATGAAGGATTCTGTTTTTAAAAATACTATATTATAGCAATTTGAGGGGGGAAATAGCACCATTTCACAATTACATGTTTTAAAATTAACCATATTAACTTAAAACACAGTACATGACTATGCAACCTTATATTATTTTGCTCTTATTGTTGTTGACAGAAAGCAAATGAACTTAACTAACATGTACCAAGTTCTTAATACAGCTTCTGTGTTGTGCTAAGGAATCATACACATGTATGCAATAAAATTCACAAAGCCTCTTTCTATTTTATGGATAACGAAAAAGAAACTTAAAGAAGTTAAGGCCAAGACCAAGGTGGTATAATCTTTGGGTTGAGTCATGCCATTCTGGCTTCTACCACCATCACTCCCAAGACATTGCCCTTGCCAAGTTCAAGGATGACCCCAATGGCAACTGATCTAACGGATATGTTTAGGTGGACATCATATTTAACTTTCAATAATATCCAAAACATGTAAGTACACTCATTCTCGAAATACCATCTTCCCCTGGCTTCCCAGACCTAGCACTTGCATGTGTACCTACCACTTCTTGCTACTTATATTAGTTTCTTCTGCAAGCTCATCTTCCTCAGATTTCTTTCTAAATGATGTAATTCGTAAGACTTGGTTGAGGGCCCTCTTCTTTCGCTATACCCTGTTCTTAGGCAATCTATCATCCTTGATTACTTTAATTACTACCTCTATGCAGATGACTCATAAAATCCACCTGTTCGGACCAGATACACTCTCCAGACCTGAATGTTCGATCATGTAAATGCCCGACATTTCCAATTAACATTCTCAAAGGTATTTAAAATGTCGATTTTATACATATATACATATGATTTTTTAAAGGTATTTAAAATGTCAATTTTTTACATACATACATACATATGATTTCTGCATGCCTCTACCTTTTTTTTTTTTTTTTTTGAGATGAAGTTTTCACTCTTATTGCCCAGGTTGGAGTGCAGCAGCGCAATCTTGACTCACTACAACCTCCACCTCTAAGCAATTCTCCTGCCTCAGCTTCCTAATTAGCTGAGATTACAGGCACATGCCACCACACCCAGCTAATTTTTTTTTTTTTTTCTTTTTAGTAGAGACTGGTTTTTGTCATGTTGGCCAGACTGGTCTCGAACTCCTGACTTAGGTGATCCACAGTCTCAGCCTCTGAAAGTGCTGGGATTACAGGCATGAGCCACCGCCAAGCTGGAATGCGGGTGGTGTGATCTTGGCTCACTGCAATCTCTACATCCCAAGTTCAAGTGATTTACCTGCCTCAGCCTCCCGAGTAGCTGGGACTACAGATGCACACCACCACACCCAGTTAATTTTTGTAATATTTAGTAGAGACAGGGTTTCACCATGTTGGCCAGGATAGTCTTGATCTCTCGACCTCATGATCTGCCTACTTCGGCCTCCCAAAGTGCTGGAATTATAGGCGTGGGCCACCGTGCCCAGCCTATCTTTTCTTATAGCACCCCATCTCAATGATCACACCATCCACATCATCAAGCCAGAAACCCAGGAGTCATCCTTCATCTCTCCTTCTGCACCAAGTCCTATTGATTTCACTTCCTACATATGTCTGACATCAGTTCACTCACTCTATCTTCACTGTCCATCCTAGTTCAAGGTATGACCATCTCTTGCCGAGAGTACAATTACTTCCTAACTAGTCTCCTCACATCTATTCCAGCCTCTCTCCAATTCCTCTTCCAAACTGCAGTGAGTAATCCTTTAAAAGACATATCTGAGTATGTGATTTCCCCATTAAAAACTGCAATAACTGCTGAAGACACAGATTGAAGTCTGTAACACAAACTCTGTGACACTGGCAGGATTTCATCTCATCCTATCTCCCTAGCACCATGTTCCCCACAGTGGCTCTCTCTGCTCTAGCCACTCAAATGTACCACACTGCCCCCTGCCATAGAGCCTTTATATACACTGTTTTATCAGTCTCGAAATCTCTTCTAGTTTCACCCAGGTGACTCCTACTCAGACTTCAGATCTCAGCTTATGCATCACCTCCTCAGGGAAGCCTTCCTAACCCTAGACTGGGTGAAAAGTCCCCGTTTACCTATACTCTTAAAAAACCATGTACATTCCTTCATTAACTCTTCAGACTGATAATGTGACATCATTTCATGTTTTCCTCTTTCACTACCCTAAGTTCCATTAGATAGAGAGAGAATTTATCTTTTTCCTCACCACTGTATCCTTGTATAATTCCTGACACAGAGTAAAGTCTCAATCAAATGAAACTTTAAATGATAAAATTAATGCTAAAATTATAGTCACAATTGGAGAATTAGTGCAAAAACCAGCAATGCCATTCCATTCATAAAATGTCCAGTGACTAAATATAATAATATTCAATGAATAACTTCAGCTACATAATTCCAAAAAGAAGTTCTAAGGTATGTGTTCCAGGCATGCAATATATCAAGATGCATCACTTCAACAATCTAAGCTTGCAGAAGTGAGCTCAAAATCACCTAGAAAAAGTATGGACTGGTCATTTTGATTTCAATTAAAAACAAAATTTCAGCTATTTTTCTCTGGGCTTATGTAGAAACTTCAGTATTAACTCAGGAGGAAGTAGTTAATATTTCCTAACTGAAGAAGGATTCAAAATACTATCAAACATGGTTTTTCAATATTACCTAGTAAGGTTTTACACTTCCACACATTCTTTGCCCTCCTGGTTTCAGGGCAAAGATTCAGTCACTCACAATTAATGCTTAACAACTCCTGCACAGATTCACTAAAATGCCCAAATTAGAGAAATTTCTTGGCAGGATTTCAAATCCTAGTAGATTAATGTGAACTTCTTGACACTGGCTATTTTCTAGAGCCCTGACGTTTTAACATTTCTCAGTAGACTATTCAATTTAGAAATCTAAGCACCAATAACTTGAGGTTTTACAGGGACTATTATTTTCCCATTTTTCCTACATAAAATGGGAAAGCATTAAGACTAAAAACAGAATTTTATCACACTTAAAATTACATTTAAAAGAAACCTTATATGTTATGACTAGAAAAAAGGCCAACAGCAGGCACTACTACCCATTGAAATTTGGAATTATTAATATTTACTTTTTCCCTCGCATTTCTTTGAAGTACTAAGCCTACCACAATGAACATATATTACTTGCACTTTCCTTAGAATAACTTATGGAGTATCAGTAGCCATTGAAAGTATAAATATTAGCCTGAATTACATATTAAAAATAAATTCTTTTATACAGTGTCTCATTCTGTTTCCTAGGCTGGAGTGCAATCGCGTGGTCTCAGCTCACTGCAACCTCTGCCTCCCAGGCTCAAGCAATCCTCCCACCTCAGCCTCCCAGGTAGCTAGGACTACAGGTATGTACCACCATGGCTAATTTTTTTTTTTTTTTGGAAATTTGTTTGCTTTTGGTGGTTTTAATTTGTATTTTTTTTTTGTAGAGACAAGATTTTGTCATGTTGCCCAGGCTGGTCTCAAACCCCTAGGCTCAAATAATTACCTACCTCAGCCTCCCAAAGAGTTGGCGTGAGCCACTGTGCCTAGCCAAAAATAAATTTCTATGTAACTATGAATCACTGTTAATATTAGCACATACATTTAAATAAATATAACAAAAATTATTACAATAAATTGAAAACACATATGAATCTCATAAATTTCAAAAACACATTTTCCAAAAAGTGAAATTTGGAAATACACGAGAGAAAGAGAGAAAAACAGGAAGAAAGAGAGAGAGAGGTGAGTTATGGGACTGCTCTCCTCACCTGTGCGCCCAGGTCATTGTAAAGGACCTTCAGGGAAGTCAGCTGCTCATCCATCCCTTTTGGGTTGTCTGTTTGCTGTTTCTGGACAATATGTCTTCCTGTTTTAATTACAGTTTCCACTTCAAGTTTGACTTCACTCAAAGTTTTATACAGTTTCTTTAAAACAAACAAAAAGACAAATTACACACGGTGGTGACAGTTTGCCAGCTGGCATCCTTTCAGAACGGTTTGCACAGACTGACAGCCAAGACCTAACTATGGAGATCAAAGGCCACGCTCTGTCTCAGATTTGGTCTGAAGGTTGAATCAAATAAAATCAAGCTTGAAATCACTTTTTCAAATATGACAAGAAAATAAATAGAGCTTATGCTCATTCTTTTAAAAACTCAGACAAATGTTTTAAATGTTTATAAAAGAACTCAATATAAACATTTTTCCTACATAAAATGGGAAAACATTAGGACTAAAACCAGAATGTTTATCACAGTTAAAATCACATTTAAAAAAAAATCTTACATGTTATGACTTTTAAAAAGCCAACACCAGCTATGGCTGTTTCTTGGATTTGAAATTATTAATACTTATTTTTTTCCCTTCTATTTCTCGGAAGTACTAAGTCTACCACAATGAGCATATATTACTTATAGGATAAAAATATTAAAAAATTGATATATCAAGATGTATATGACTATAAGAAATCATGTTTCTGAGGCAAATCAAAACCACAATAAGATACCATCTCACACCAGTCAGAATGGCCATTATTAAAAAGTCAATAAACAAGAGATGCTGGCAAGGCTGCAGAGAAAAGGGAACACCGTACACTGTTGGTGGGACTGCAAGTCAGTTCAGCCCCTGAGGAAAGCAGTTTGGAAATATCTCAAAGAACTAAACATAGAATTATTATTCAACTCAGAAATCTCATTACTAGGTATATTTGTAAAGGAGAATAAATCGTTCTACCAAAAAGACACATGCGCTCCCATGTTGATCACACCACTACTCACAGTAGCAAAGACATGCCATCAACCTAGGTGCCCATCAATGGGGGAATGAATAAAGAAAATGTGGTACAAATATACCACAGAATACTACACAGCTATAAAAAAGGAAATCATGTCCTTTGCAGCAGCATCGATGCAGCTCATGGCCATTATCCTAAGTAAATTAACCCAGAAAATCAAATACTACATGTTCTCACTTATAAGTGGGAGTTAAACAATCGGTACACATGCACATAAAGATGGAAACCAAAGACACTGGGACTCTAAAAGCCAGGAAGGAGGAAAGGGGCACGAGCTGAAAAACCACTGAGTGGGTACCATGTTTATTATTTGGGTGATGGGTCCAGTCGAAACCCAAACTTCAGCATCATACAATATATCCATGTATCAAATGCGCACATGTACTTCCTGAATCTAAAATTCTTCAAAAATTAAAAATAAAATAAATTTAAACATAAAAGAAGAAAAAAATAAATCAGAGTTCTGTAGGTCAAATTCAGAGTTGTCTTCATCCCAGTTACTTGAAACCAAAAAGCTTTACAGCTTCTCTTGACACCATACATCACCATCTTAACATCTCATGGGACACCATCACCTAACAGACCCCTGAGCTGTGTTCTATGAAGTCAAGGACAGCACTTGCCCTGATTACCATTACGTCACAATAATGAAATAAATACTTATATACATGCACATATATATTGAAATTTATCATTTATTTTGAAAGGCACAAAGAAATGCCCCTGTACTGCTCCTGTCCTAAAGAGTCGCAGCTTAAGTTCTGTGATTCTCAAGCAGAACACTAATTCGAAGATTGTTTCCCCTTAGCTACATTATTTTAAAATTTCTATTCAATTGAATTACAAAGTTCAAGACTACAAAAGTCATAAGGCCTTATATATAATTTCTTCTTTCCTATCTTAGGTTTATATTTCTATTTAAACTTTTATTTTACTAGAAAATTGAATTTTTATGCTATAATATATCTGATATTCATTCTAAGTATGGTTCTTTTAGCTAACTCAAAATTATCCTTGAAAACTTTGCTTATTAGTCACATTCTGCTGAAGCCTTCCTAACTTCACACTATGATTAAGATGTGTTTCTTTTATTTTGGTTTTTGTTTGTCATCATGTTATATACATGTCTATTCTAGTTTCCTTAGCTATCTCTCTTATCTCTTCTAATTTCCTTGGAGGGAAAGACCACACTTCTTATTTTTTAACAGGTTTTTCATTATCAATCCTTATGTTTAGCACACTCTAGACTAGTGATCGTTGGACACACTAGGCATGTAAGCTCTAGACTAAGCCATTACAGCTTCTGAAAAAGCCACTGGATGTGTCAATCACCCTACAGCCTCACCATACACTTGTCCAGGTGGGTCTGTATGACGTCAGGATCTACATCCTTCACATCCAGAACATGAAGTTCTGCTTTCACACCATCCAGCACACGCTTGCAGTCCAGCATGCGCTGCTCGAAGTTAGCAGGCTTCTGGAAAAGCTGGAACTTTGTGGATACTTCTCGGAGTTTCCTCTGTTTGCAGAAATGAAAATACAAATTATCAGAATGATTATCTCTCTCATCATGAGCATAACACATACAACTCAAAATCTGTACCATAAGCACACACACACACAAAATCAGTAATATAATAACAACAAAAACCCTAATGGAACTCGGTGAGGTTACCCAATCGCCTAAGTGAACTGCATAGCCCAGTGTCAAAAGTTACTCAACACTCTGTCTCAGTCTCAGGAGTCAATAGATTTGGATAAGAAATTTAGATAAAGCTGGCCTCACTGGAAATAAAACTTCATGTTCAAAAAGGCAGTTCAGCTCAAAATGCCCTTCATCGGAAGTTCAGAGTGCAAGTCAATGTCACATCAACCATGAAAGAACTAAATGATGCTGCATCCAATTCGTGCTCAGCCTGCCCACAGCATCATCCACAAGATACTGACAGAGGCTCTGTGTTAAAGAAAAAGACTATATAAAGGTAACCTCTAAATATGGCTCACTCTCTTGTTTCTCAACTCCACTAAAAAATCAGATTTAACATTTCCCCCCCTTGCAACAATTTGTTTCTGTTGCCCTGGGATGCAATGCACCTTCAATACATCACTCCTATTCCACAATTTACATCATAAAGAATACCAAGGGTGCCCAAGTAATCAATTATTTCTCTTTTTTAAAAAAAATTCCTAACACACTGAAAAGTAAAAGGAAGCTCCTTGCCCTCCTTACCTGTAGCACATCCATCTGACTTCCTCCTCTGGCAGACCTGCTCACTGGGGAGGTCGGGGGTTGAGAACGCATATTTCTTCTCAGCTCCTCTAGGGTTAGCTCATGGGCTGAGATCTCTGCTTGGATTTTCTACAAAGAGATTGGAAAGGGGAGACAATGTCCTTTTTTTCTTAAGTATAAAAAGAAGCAATACAAAAGTTCTATATTGTTGTGTAGTACATAATGTATTTTATATAATGTTGACCTCCATAGAAGCTTTAATAAGTTTTTGTATGATAATAATACAGCCCATTGTATAATATGACTATTGTGCGTGATGCACATGCTAAGATCCTTACACTTGGCATTTCTAATGTTCACAACTTATTTATAAGGAAGGAATTGTCCCAACTTCATAGCGAAGAAAACTACTATTCAAAATATACAGGACTTTTCAACTGGGTACAATGGCTCACACCTGCAATCCCAGCACTTTGGGAGGCGGAGGAAGGCATATCACCTGAGGTCAGGAGTTTGAGACTAGCCTGGCCAACATGGTGAAACCCTGTCTCTACTAAAAGTACAAAAAATTAGCCAGGCTTGGTGGCACACGCTTATAACTCTAGAGGCTAAGGCAGGAGAATCACTTGAACCCAGAAGCAGAGGTTGCAGTGAGCTGAGATTGCGCCACTGCACTCCAGCCTGGGTGACAGAGTGAGACTCTGTCTCAAATAAATAACAAAATAAAATATATAGAACTTTTGAGACAGTCTCACATAGAAAGCAAGAGAACTTCAAAACCCAAATGCTGCCCCATAAGTAAGGTCAATCTTTCCCATTAACTCTCGATTTTGGATGGCAGGAGGGGTTTCATTATAGTTGAAGAGGTAATTGCATATGCTCTCTTTACATCTTGAAAGTCTTCAAATTCACAGCAATACCTGAGCTTCCTGTGGAACTTGGAAAGCATCTATCCTGTCAGTTAGGTACGTGGTGAGCTGTTGGTCCAACTCCCCCAAGCTCTCTTGTAAGACTTGAAGGATATGGTCAGTTTCCCGCAGGGCCTGGAGTTGCTTTTCCAAAGAAATCTGCTTGCTCTCTGCCTGCAGAGGAGAAACTGAATCATTAGTGGCTCAGTGCAAATATAAATAGCTGAATATATATATGTTCTGGCCACTAAGAAAAGACTATAAAAGCTTTCATTCAAGACTTTAGTCGTCCTTATAAATAAATAATAATTACTAATGGTAACAGTGAAAATGTTCTACTAGGATCTTGTGTACCATGCAGCTGAATTACTAATTATTACTTATTTCTATATACAATGACAAAATACAAAAATGTAAAATTTCCCATAAGATGCATTAAACAGAAGATAAAAATTTGTTATTTATTATAATTTTAAAGCATTTTTAGGAATCATCAATGTCTACCAACAAGAACATAAAACATAAGAAAAATGTCTGTCAATACAGTAAACATCAGAGTCTATTTCTCTAAAGTGTAAAACAAATTCTACAGGTGTACATACATATCAAACGACTACGTACTGCACTTTTGGGTTAAGCTTGATGTTATTCATTGACTAAACATCAACAGTTATTATTTAATATGTGTTTGGAAGCACCTAATATTCATAGCCAACCTTCCTGTAAAAGAAGTGTTCTTTCTCTAATGTGTGATACAAATATGTAGAAGTAATATCAAAAATAATTTTTTTAATCATCAAGCTCTGCCTGTCTTAAAGTGTTAGATTTATTCTCCCCTCCTGAGTACTTCAGTACCCTCAATGCCCCTGTTAGCTTGGTTACCAACTTTAACCAACATTAAAGATTTTTCCAACATTAAAGCCCTATGATACGGAGCTTAGGGCCAGCTCCACTTCATCAGTACCTAATCAACACGCATGCATGGCCTGACTCTTACCAGGTGACTCAGCTCTTCATATCGGCTGTTGAAAGCCTCCAGTTTCTCACTGATTATATCATCCAGGATCCCTCCATCAATCAGAGTCTGGCCAAGCTCTCGAATCTGGGTGCGATTATCTGCCGGGTGGCGCAGAACAGATTCCAGAGACTGGACCAGAGATGGGAAAAAAAAATAGTGCATTTACTAGGGCCAAAGGTATCAAGGATCCCCAAAATGTCTATTTCTTAAACAAGTAATTCCATTTTCTAAAAATCTACCTAAGGAACAGGACCAAACATTAAGTAAATTACTAATTCACAAAAATATTCATCACGGTATTAAAAAATGCATAAAATTGAGAGATTAGCGTAAGTGATACAAGCACAATGGCTCACACCTATAATCCTAGCACTTTGGGAAGCCAAGGCAGGTAAATCACCTGACGTCAGGAATTCTAGACCAGCATGGCCAACCAGGTTAAAAAAAAAAACCCGTCTTTACTAAAAATACAAAATTAGCTAGGGTGGTGGCGCACGCCTTTGATCTCAGCTACTCAGGAGGCTGAGGCAGGAGAATTGCTTAAACTCAGGAGGCGGAGGTTCCAGTGAGCTGAGATCATGGCACTGCACTTTAGCCTGGGCAACATAGCGAGATTCCATCTCAAATAAAAAATAAATAAATAAATAAATAAATAAATAAAAGACCTCAAAGCCTTTGATCCAGTGTACCACTTTCTAGCATGCATACATAAAAGATAATAATTAGGAAGAAATCTACAAACTGCTTAAAAATGCTTCTCTTAAGATTTTGCTTTATATTTTATTTTCCATATTTCTAGAATGTGCACATATTCACTCTCATATTAGGAAAAAAGTTAAGCATTTCATAGTTTTCATTCACTCGTCTCTCACTCTGCTCTATTTAAGAAGTGGCATCTTTTCCCTGGCACAGCATCCAGCTCCTAGAATGTCATTGCCACATTTCACTCATTTCCCACATGGTACAGCGTACCTACCCTCTTCCCTTTTGTGTGTGTGTTAAGCAAACCTACCCTGTTAGCATTGTATTTCATTTAAGAAACGATTATTAAGTTAACATGTGCTACACACTGTGCTGGGGACTGAAAATAACAAAGTATCAGGTACATTTCTTGGCCTCAAGGAGTTGAAAGTCCAGGCTTGATGACAAGCTCCTATGACAAGACCCCATGACTCAACCACTGTCTTTCAACCTCTAACATCTGAAGGTCATAGGAAGCCCCTGTAAACAGTCATGGCTGTGCTTAGTGAGTAAAAACAACCTGTTGATGAAACAAGAGAAGAGCTGCTCTAGTAACCTCCGGCAGAGCTCTGTCCAGGGCCTAGCAACATAAACTGGAAAACAACTAGAGTGCTTCAACATGTCAAAAATGTGCCAATTGCCAAACAGCTAACCGCATCTTGAGGCTGACATAGTGGGTCACCAGTAATCTAAACACACATGAATGCATAAACACTTCAGGCTCTGGAAGAAAAATGCAAGTGACACTGAATATGACTGAAGAAGCAAATGCATTTGCCCACATAAACATCATGTTCCTCATTTTAATACACATGTGACCCCATCACAACAGAGAGAACCGCCATGGAGAGCAAAGGCTCCAACCTCTAGGGCTTCGTTGACAGCGTCCGTCTTCTCAGGCAGGACCTCTGTGCTCTTCATCCGCTCTTCCAAAGTGTTTAACCAGGTGGTTTCAAGATCCAAATAATGAAGCAGCTCAATCCAACAAGACCAGACCTCCTAAAGCATGAAAAGTTTAAATCAGACAAAAAGTCATTTCATACATGATATCGCTAGTGCCACATGTTCTCTTTAACTGCCAATAATTTCATTTGGATGTAGGTATATCTAGGAATTCACAAACTGATGGAGTTGAAACTTCAAATAAAAAAGATAAAATAAAATTATCCAAAAAATCATGTTAGACCAATTGGTGAGGGGTGGGGAGCAAAGAGGAGTGGGCAAGAGGCTGCCTCACTCTTTACCTTAAAATAAATTCCACGATCTCATTTAAATGTCAAAAATACAACTATACAATTAGTAGAAAAAACAGAAGAGAAACATTATTTAGTTTGTTTTTTAGAAGCCAGTTGCCGTGGCTCTACAACTGTAATCCCAGCATTTTAGGAGGCTGAGGCAGGCAGATCACCTGAGGTCAGGAGTTCGAGACCAGCCTAGCCTGGTCAACATGGTAAAACCCCATCTCTACAAAAAATACAAAAGTTAGCCAGCGTGGTGGCAGGCGGCTGTAATCCCAGCTACTTATGAGGCTGAGCAAGGAGAATCGCTTGAACCCAGGAGATGAAGGTTGCAGTGAGTCCAGACCACGCCACTGCCCTCCAGACTGGGCAACAAGAGTGCAAATCCATTTCAAAAAAAAAAAAAAAAATGTTTGTTTTTTGAACAGAAGGAAAAAATTTCTCCAGATTATAAAATTTTTAAAATATGATGTCATAGAAAATTGAAATCCCCTGGGTCCCACCCAGTTCCAACTCAGATCTAATTGATGTAAAAGTTTGCAGGGTTGCCTTCCCAATGTTTTCTAAATTCATGAAGACATGTCTATATAAGAAGAGAGCCGCATTTTATCAAAACCAGAGTTACACTATTCTTAATTCTTACTGTGTTGGTTTTGATCACTCATTCCCCTCTAAGGTTTCCAGAGCAGGGACCCAGGGGTCTTGTAGGGGGTGGATACATTTATAAATTCATAATCCCTTATTACAAGAGGAACTTATTTGAGTGGCAAGTTTAGGAGAAAGAACTCAGCTGGATGCCTCCTGGGCTTGTCCTCTTTTGGATGTACTGAATGAGTGAAGGCACCTGCTGGTCCACATTCCATATGAAGTATGCTTACCAGATCAGGAAGCAGTATGTTTTTCTACAAAGGACTAAACAGTAAATATTTTAGGTTTTGAGGGACACATTTGGTTCCCATCACAGATTCTTCTTGGAGGTAGGGGGTGTGTTGTACAACCCTTGAGAAATATATAAAGCATTCTTAATTAACCAGGTATCCAAAAACAAACTACAACTTAGATTTAAACCCCTTAGCCAGTCCAGGTACAGTGGCTCATGCCTGTAATCCCAGCATTTTGGTAGGCCAAGGCAGAAATATAGCTTGAGCCCAAGAGTTCAAGACCAGCCTGGGCAACATAGTGAGACCCCCATCTCCACAAAAAAAAAAAAGAAAGAAAGAAAAATAATTAGCTGGTGTGGCATTGCAAGCCTGTAGTCATAGCTAAGTCAGGAAGCAGGGGCAGGAGTGTCACTTGAGCCCAGGAGTCTGAGGTTTCAGTGAGCTGTGATCACACCACTGCACCCCAGCACAGGTGACAGAGCAAAACCCTGTCTTAAAACAAAACAAAATGGAAAAAAAATCCCTCAGCCATAATTTGCCAATCCCTGAGTTAAAATAAAAGAAAAAATAGTTTCTAGTCCCCCCATTTCTACAAGAAAAAAAAAATCCGCTCAGATGCAAGCATGACCTCTTATGGGAAAAAAAAAAAAGAAGACTTAAAGAAGACCACTCCCAAGAAGCAGACTGACCCCAAATCAACTATCTTACTAACTAGCCTCAATTATACATACTTATCTTAGCACAAAATTAGTTTAGAACAAGCAATGAATGAATTTACAAATGAATGAATGATCAATATTTAGGTTAAATACTGCAGTTGCCATTTTTTACCATTTCAGGATTTACCACAATACAATGATTTGTTTTACGTAGAATTGAATGAAAATTAAATTGTAAATTGAAAGGCTTCTTAAATCTTCCAACAAGCAATAGCAAAAGTCATACCACTATAAAAACAAACAAGCAAAAACTTGATCTTTGTTTTAAAAAAATTTTCACAGAATCAGCTACATTTTACATGTAATGGCCAGGGAGGGGAAAAAAAGGTATTTCATCTAAGGCCCAGTAAAATAGTAGCATATTTAAGTTCTGTTCCGTTTTTCCTTTGGATGACTCTTATACTTTAGACACCACTCAAAAGAAAATAATTCCTTCCTGTGTACTCATCCAGGCAAAACAAAAGAGATGCTTGCAATGTGCTCTGCAATTTTTGGACTGGAACCGGCCCCACAGATCATCTATTACATGAAAACCTTGATTTCACATGCAAAAAAAAGTCAAGTCTGAAGATATAAAATGACTTGCCCAAGAACCTTTTGATAATTAGGGACAGATTCTGTTCTCCTGTTTTCAACCCCTCTTTCATTTTTATCAACATATTCCCCCAGAACTATTTTTCCTTTATGATCCAGAATTTGAAATAAAAAAGTTTTCTCCAAGATTTGAAAATGGCCAGAACATTACAGAGTTTGGATCTCAGAAATACATCACAGAAAAAAAAAAAAAAAAAGTAACATACCTCTAAAGTGTGGCACTTTCCTCGAATTCTATTACAAAGAAGTTGGTAATTCTCCAGCACAACATTCAGCTCAGATGTCAACTCCTGGCCACCAGAGGGCACCTTGGCAGCTAATAACTTGATGTTGTCCTTGAGAATCTTCACTCTCACCTCTTTCTGCAGCACATCCTCTTTTGCCCTCTGTTCCAAGAAAGGAAGGATGAACTTGAACAATGTCTCCTTTTCTCAGTAACCAATTTTTTTCTTCAAGGATTAAACCAAAATTAAAACATCGGGATGATTCTAACTGCCGAAAAGGAAGTTATTTAGGTAACAGTGAGTGCTTCTTTGTGGGTTTGTTTGTTTCGTGGGGTTTATTTGTTTGTTTGTTTGAGATGGAGTCTCACCCACTGCAACCTCTGCTTCTGGTTTAAGCAATTCTCCTGCCTCAGCCTCCGAGTAGCTGGGATTTCAAACATGTGCCACCATGCCCAGCTACTTTTGTATTTTTAGTAGAGACGGAGTTTCACCATGTTGGCCAGGCTGGTCTCAAACTCCTGACCTCAGGTGATCCACCCACCTAGGCCTCCCAAAGTGCTGGGATTACAGGCGTGAGCCACTGCACCCAGTCCAGTGAGTGTTTTTAAATAAGAACACTAACTCTAAAATTTCACTTATGCATCCAATGTACTCAACCCCCACAAATGTTTTCATTTGCTAACAGCAGTGTTAACATATGTTACCCAAATTATGTTTACTGACATGAAGTATTTTCAAAGTCCGGGTTCAAGATCAGAATTTAACTGAGTGAATTTCAACTGATCACTGGAGGTCTGAGCTGATTATACTGTGATAAACAAATTTTCACAAAAATTGAGGTACACTATGGTAGAAGTATCCTTTTTTAAAAGTTCTCTAAATAATTTAAACTATTTTTAAAATTCTAGAACGCTAGAACATAGGCACATGTACCCTACTGTTAATTAATGGAATTTTAATGACAAAGTTAGACTGAGATGATCTCATCCAGAAATAGCTCTTTCTCAGTGCTCAAGAGAAACAATCTCACATTCAGGAAAATCAACCTATTAGGTTGGTGCAAAAGTATTTAATGGCAAAAAATAGAAATTTTTTTTCACTTTCCCCTTTAGTTTTCTCTACTACTTAATGGTTTTGAACTTTATTAGATTATAATCTAAGGAATTAATTAAGTGTAGCAGTTGTGTAAGTCCTAATGGCTGTTTGAAAGAATAACAGTAAGTAAAATGTTGCCCAAATAGTTATATATCATTTTTCTCAAATCTGATCTATGGCAACTTTGAAAATCCACAGAACTACAATGCCAATAGTGTTAAGAAAGATAATAAATGACACAATTCTTAACATGGGAGCCTATTTAATAGTACCTTATGAACTGAGTATTTTCAAATCTTTCAAAAAAAGCTACCTTACAAAAAGATGTTTCAGTGAAAATACAACTTCCATACAAGCCTCCTGTCACATGTACTTTGATTCATGTATAATAATGCATGAATGTCATCTAATCCCCTTTTTGAAAAAACCTGCACAGAGATTTTTGCTTTAGTTACACTTCTAGGCAAGTTAACTTTGCGGTAAAACATTCACTGTGTTGCTTAAGCTTATAGGAAAAAGAAAGCTTCGAAAACATGATCTCCTTTGGCTTGAGCACTCAAGGCAGTTGAAGTTGTGTTAGAAATTTGGGAACGATGCCCAGTTCTTCTATTATACATAGAAAGAGAGCGCTCAAGACTATCGACACAGGAGTGCAAGTTTACAGGAAATGTTCCCAGTGAATCCAACTAATAGGAACTCCCCTGATGCATTCCCACTGCTACTCCCATCTGCTCTAATGAAACGCTGGTGTTCACATGTACTGTATGTATTAACTGGAAGATTAGTACCCAAGAAAATAAGAATAAACCCCAGACAGCTTGGGAGGTCTCTTTTGTTCCCTTTACAAAAAACAATTCTTCATAAAAATTTTTGGAAATAGCGATGAATGCAATTAATGTCACTGGGTTGTGCACTTAAAAATTAAAATGGCCACTGGGTGTGGTGGCTCACACCTGTAATCCCAGCACTTTGGGAGGCCTAGGTGGGCAGATCACCTGAGGTCAGGAATTCGAGACCAGCCTGGCCAACATAGCAAAACCCCGTCTCTACTGAAAATACAAATTAGCCAGGCATGGTGGCAGGAGCCTGTAATACCAACTACTTTTAGGAGGCTGAGGCAGGAGAATTGCTTGAACCCGGGAGGCAGAGTCTGCAGTGAGCCCATAGTGCATCATTGCACTCTAGCCTGGGCAACAAGAGCAAAACTCCCTCTCAAAAAAAAAAAAAAAAAAAAAAAAAAAAAATACAAAAAAAAAAAAAAAAAAAAAAAAAAAAAAAAACATTAAAATGGTCAATGTTATGTGTATTTACCCAGATTAAAAAAGTGATCATTCTTCTTCATACTCACTACCAGAGATTTTTAAGTCATTCTCCGTAGCCTCCCAAAGGTCTGACTTAAGAGCTTGTCTCACAGGCCCCCATGGACTCAACTCATGGGCCAAGCCAAACACGTGGGTTCCTGGCTTCCTTCCCCTGCTAAAATCATAGCAGCTACCCTTTTAAGTTTTTTTAATTCAAAAAACTACAGTGAAAGATGCTATGTGCATAGAGTGCTTGACCGCTAGAGAGGTGACTGACGGGCTGTTTCAAAGGGAGGAGGGAGGCATGAAGCCTGTTGGTACTGGTTGTCCCCACCTCACCTTCATCTCTTCCACAGCACACTCAAGCTCTTCTGGGGACTTGTACTCAAAATCCCGCTCCAGGTATTCTTCCTCGGCCTGGGTCATCCACTCCTGCATCTCTGCCAAGTCCTTCTTCAGGTTCACAGCTTTTTCTTGACTTTCAGACAACCTACTTTTTTGAGTAGAGATCTGCAAAGGAAAAGCCATTCCCCCAAATAAACAAATGTTAATGTGTTTTCAATGTCAAATTTTAGCTCTTAATATTTAAAGGCACAGCAATAACTTCCCACAATGAATTGCATGTTTTAAAATTCAAGTAACAACTCATACATTTCATACTAATGCTGTGGAATATAAGTAATAATGAAAATAATCTTATAACTGGGATTCTATATCATATTTTGGATAATACTCTTATCTCGAAATATCTATTATAATTTTGAAAATGTATCACTGTAATCCCAGATGTAGGAATCTAATCTGTAACAGTAAAAGCACATATATGAGGTAAATTTAATGTAGCACTGTCTATAACAAAAAAAAGTGAAAACAAAAAACCTAGAAGCAGTCTTGGTGGTTCACATCTGTAATCACAGCACTTTAGGAGGCGAAGGTGGGCAGATCACCTGAGGTCAGGAGTTCCAGATCAGCCTGGCCAACACAGCAAAACCCTGTCTCTACTAAACATACAAAAATTCGCCAGGCCTGGTGGCACATATTGGCAAAAAAATAAAAATAAAACAGACTTTCACTTTTCCCTTTAGTTTTCTCTACTACTTGATGGTTTTGAACTTCCTTAGGTTACTACTGCCTGTAGTCCCAGTTATTTGGGAGGCGGGGACAGGAGAATTGCCTGAACGTGGGAAGCAGAGGCTGCAATGAGTCAAGATCGCACCACTGCTGGGAAACAGAGTGAGACTCCGTCTCAAATAATAATAATAATAATCTAGAAGCAACCAAAATGTTCATTTTCTTCTTTTTAGCTGAATTTCCCATTAACATTTCACTTTTAAAGAACAGGGAGGAAGAGTCTGCTATTAAAGATGTCATAAGACACTGCACTACACAATTTTGGTTTTGAGATCTACTATATTTGTATATGCCACGCAGACGCAAAAAAGTTACAGTAAAAATAGTTGTCTGATTTTGATTCAGTAACTTAAAAATTTCAGAGAAGTCTAGAAATATTTTTCAGAGTGCTCCTCCCCATAACTACAAACTGACTTCTCCTATGAGAGAAGACACTGTTCTGCAGTCGCCGTCCAACCCCTCCTTGGCAGGTTCAGCCTGATGCTCAACACCACAGTAGAGGCCACTCTGCCAGGGCTTGCTTGGCTGCTAGGTTGACAGCAACCGAAGGCCAGCACAGGAACTGGATGGTTCTCACAGAAGTTCGAGTTAAGCAAGAGATGGAGGCTTTCCCAGTCCCTCCCTCCAGATAGGATCTCAGGCATAAAAACAGACAGGACCAAACGAGAGCTTTCCTTCTACTGTCCCCACAGAGTAACCAAGGAGCTGGTACCAGCAACACTCACAATCCCACACCCAGGCCCGGCTGATCATCAGGGTGAGCTTTTCACTAAAATACAGGCATGCACACACACACACAAAGAGAAACAGAGAGAGGGATTCCAGGGCCTCACTTCCAGAAAATTCTCTGTACGAGTACTTTTTGAACACTAGTCAGCTATATAATTTTCACAGATCCAAAGATAAAGGAAGAAAATAAAGACGCAACCATACGCTTACCAACAACAACTAAAAACCCTCAAAATTATCTTTAATTATCCTGAGAATATATACTTTCTATTTTTTGACATTAAAATGTTCCTTTTTTTTTCAGGATATCATGAATATAATAGAAGAAATATAGACTATCTTTGTTGATTTGTTTGATGTGCCTGTCCTTTTTTAGCAAAATGAAAATTTGGCAAAATTATGTTTGTCCAAAACTACTTCAACATTTTGCTAGTCAATGTAATGCAATCATCTGGGAACGTTCTAAATAATTATTCACACATGTGGTTATCTCCTTGCTGAGGACATTTTAAATTTTGCATATATTTATTCCCATGTTTTGAATCAGTAATTCACAATGAATTCTTTGTAGTCATATGTATGTAGATGGATGGATAAATGGATGGATGGATGGATGGGCGGACGGACCAAGATACAAACCTATTCATCACCTTCCTCAATCTTCACTGCCACTTCCAAACCACTTTCTCTATTTATTTTCTCAAAAACCCCAGTTCCTTAAGGCATATGCCATCACATTACAGCATATCAAGAAAAATTTGAATTTAGCTACGATAAGAGATGAGAGTGTAACATTATGTTTCTTAAGTGTGATCATGGTTTTGTGGTTTTGCGGAAGGACACCTTCATGCATGGAGAATCATGCTAGAGTATTCAGGGGTGAAGTGGCATGATATTTTCAACTTCCTGTTCAAAAGTACCAAAAAAAGGGTGTGTGTGTGTGTTTGTGTGTGTGTGTGTGTGTGTGTAAAGAGAAGGGCAGGCCGGGCGCAGTGGCTCACGCCTGTAATCCCAGCACTGTGGGAGGCCGAGGCAGATGGATCACGAGGTCAAGAGATCGAGACCATCCTGGTCAACATGGTGAAACTCCGTCTCTACTAAAGCTACAAAAAATTAGCTGGGCATGGTGGCGCGTGCCTGTAATCCCAGCTACTCAGGGAGGCTGAGGCAGGAGAATTGCCTGAACCCAGGAGGCAGAGGTTGCGGTGAGCCGAGATCGCGCCATTGCACTCCAGCCTGGGTAACAAGAGTGAAACTCTGTCTCAAAAAAAAAAAAAAAAAAGAAAGAAAAGGGCAGAAAGAGAGAAAGCAAATGTGGTAAAACATTAGCAAGTCTCTGGATATATAGCTGTTCCTTTTTATCATTCTTTTAACTTTTCTTTACGTTTGAACATGTTGAAAATAAGTTAGCTGGGGTAAAACAACAAAAACAAAGCAAATTATTCAGTTATGCAAATATAAATTTTTCTGATCCAAACGTTAGCCAAAAGCATTTTATTAAGAAATGCACACTATCTCCATGAGTATGCCTGTATTTCACATTGAATCCTCTATTTTCACTCCTTTGTCACTCATTTCAGCTATATAAAGCCTCACTATTATTCCACTAACAAAAATCAAAGCAATCGGGAGAGGATACCTCCCAGTTCTACTCTTCCTATCATTTCCTCCCTTCCATTACCACAAAGAAGCCATATCTCACAGCCAACATCTTAACTTAGATGGTGGATCTCATCCTTGCATAATCGCAGACCTCACTTGAGAAATTCTCCTATCTCCATCTCTTTCTGCATCATCATTTTTTTTTCTAGGTGAGGTCCTTCTACTTGGCATGCAAATATCTGCAGTATCTCTTATTATTAAAAATGACAAAACCACCTCTTTGGATTCCTATCACCAGCACCCACCCATTTCTCTGCTCCTCTGAAGAGAGGAATTTCTCAAAATCGGTTATGTGTGGTGTCCCAGTTCCTCAGTCCCCATACGTTCCTCGACACTCTTCACTATGACTTTTTTCCCACCAGTTCTCTGACCCTATTTTCTCGTTATTAAATTCCTCCTTCTTATCAAATTCAAAGCTGGACTTTCAGTTTTGATTGGCCCCAGCAATCCTCAGCATTAGGCACTGTGAAAAGCTTTGTCCACCTAGCATCTGGGAACCCCCATTCCTGGTTACTAATCTTTCTTCTTTAGCTTCTAGCATCAAATTAACCCTTCAGAACGGAAGTCATCATTTCACTTACACCTACAGAACCTTCTCCTTCGTTATTGCGGTAAATGGCACCACAATTCACACAAAGTGAAAGCTGTGCTAAAATCCTGAGCCATCCCTGACCATTCACTTTTTCTCCTATCACACATCCAATTCTTTACCTAGGTCTCCTCTTTATTTTCAAACCTAATATTTCTCATGCCCTCCGTTACTACATCTCTAGCCTCCCTAGTGCATGGGGCCATCCTCTCTCTCCAAGACTGTGGTAACCTCATGAGAATTCTTTCTGTTTTCATTCTTGCCTTCCCAGAGCAAACTATTCACACAAAAGCCAGAGAGAGGCCAAGTGCAGTGGCCCATGCCTCTGATCTCAACACTTTGGGAGGCTGAGGCAGGAGGATGGCTTAAGGTCTGCAGCATCTGAACAGACTGGCATCTGGTCTCGAACTGCTGACCTCAAGCCATCCTCTTGCTTCAGCCTCCCAAGGCATTGAGCCAGAACCCCATTTCTACAATGATTTTTTTTTTTTTTTAAGACAGGGTCTGGCTCTTTCATCCAGGCTGGAGTGCAGTGGTGCAATCTCAGCTCACTGCAACCTCCACCATCTGGGCTCAAGCCATTCTCCCACCTCAGCCTCCTACGTAGCTGGGACTATAGGCTCACATCACAATGCCTGGCTAATTTTTTGCATTTTTTATAGAGATAAGGTTTCACCATGTTGCCCAGGCTGGTCTCAAACTCCAGAACTCACCCACGTCAGCCTCCCGAAGTACTGGGATTACAGGCATGCACCACTGCATCTGGCCCAAAAATATTTCTACAATTAGCTAGGGATGGTGGTAAACACCTATAGTACCAGCTACCCGAGAGGCTGAGGCAGGAAGATTGCTTGAGCTCAGGAAGGCTGCAGTGAGCTACGATCGTGCCACTGCACTCCAGCCTGGGTGACAGAGCAAGGCACCATTGCTAAAAAAAAAATGAAACAAAAGGCCAAAGTGATCTTAAAAGATCTAATATCACATGTCATGTCCCTGTTCAAAATCTTCAAATGAATTTCTGTGTAATATCATACTTGAAATAAAATCCCAGTCCTTTCCTCCAAGGCCACAGCTAATCCATCCTCTGCCTTCCTCTACCCTCAAATATTACCATTCTCCAACCCCCTAACTCCTCTCTGCTCTTTTCCAGCTATACTGCTTTCATTCTTTATTAAACAGACCAAGTTCATTCCCACCATAAAGTTTTAAAATTTGCTATTCTTCATGCCTGAATGTTCTTATCTGAACCTTACAAGGCTCGTCCCTTACTTTACTCAGTTTTCTATTTAAACGCCCCCATCTCAGAAAGCCTCTCCCTGAACACCCTATTTGAAATAACCCACCTAGCCGTAACTCCTTGCCATTCCTCCATATTATCTGTTATCCATCTGCTTCACTAGAATGTAAGCTCCTAATGAGGAGTTTCTTCTTCCTTGTTCAATGCTGTACCTCCAGTGCCTAGAATGATGCTTGGCACATGGCAACTGATTAAGAAATATTTGCTAAGAAAATAAATGGTCACACTCAAGTGTTTTAGGGGTAAAGCAAATGTCATAAGTGTGTGTCAAACCAGATTTCAGAAAAGAATGGGTAAGCCCTGAGTCAAACTGGACAATTAATATCCTCTCTTAATTTAAAAAATGATGCCTTTTATTGTCCCAACTCACAACCCATGCTGGAGTTATTCTAGACCATTGTTTTATGAACTGGATGGGTCATAATAAATGTAGTCAGTTGAGAGAAGCTACAGTCTACATCTTTTGAAAACCATAGATAGTAATGTTAAAAAACTCACCTCCTTGCTAAGTTTCTCCAGTTGGGTTTGATAGTCACCTAGCCTTCTCTGCACCCAAGTTTTTATTCCAGCAACTGGACCACTTCGAAGATCAGTTTCTATTTCCTTCATGTTTTTCAGAGATGATTCAATTGTTTCTATTTCATTAACAAATGCCTGAACACATAAAAGAAGCCATGTTGGGTTCATTACTATACAAGTGGATGCCATAATCATCGTCTGTCTGCTTATCTCCCTAGAAATACTATAGAAGCAGACTGCTTAAGAGTCAGTACTTCTAACTACTTAAGAAATATTGTGCCTTAATAAATTCATTTCACCTGGGTGCTTGATACAGCCATCTGCTAAATTAGATTGGAAATACTTGACTCTCAGTAGGGAATAGTCTTTTAATTAATGTAGAGAAGCCTGATGATTTCACCAAATATAAACTGCATGCACTACTACTGGCAAACTCATTTGTTAAATATGTTTTTCTTAAATCCTCACCATGTGGCACAAGAAAAGCAATATACAATGACTCCTAATGAACTAAAATTCTTCTTGTTCTCTATTCTATAACCTCTCAGAAATCTATCACCATGGCCGAAAATAAAAACATGAAGACTCTGTCATTCTTTTGTTAGCTATAAAGTCATAAAAGCTTTAAGATGAAAGATATTTTATCTAGATTTAATGCTATGTTATATTCTCACAATTTTAATAACAGCAGCAAATCACATAAAAAAAAAAAAAGAAAATGTTATTTATGACAAGTTCCCCAGATCAGCAGAACTCACAGAGCACTGGTCCAACTGCCTCTGTAGATCTGTGTCATCTCCTTGGGCAACCTGCTGTTTCATTAAGAAGTCTTTCACATCATCGATCCACTTCTCAATGATTGTTGAATCAGCCTAAATCAAACATGATAACAGAGGGGGATATTACTCTGTGACGTTCAGCCTACCACATCTCAAGATCCATCGCCACTGGAACAAAGGTCATTTTTAAAGCTCTGATAGCATTGTTTTCATTTATTTTATTCCTTTTGTTAAAACTTCCAACTTTAAAAATAATTATTTTTTTCATTCTTGACTGAAATTCTCAAAAGATGACAGGTTAGTAACCATTCTAAACATTTCCAAACGCTCTCCAGTGAACCAAGCATTAGCCATGATCTAAAATGCAAATTACAGGGAAAAATGCATTTCTAGGTATAATCAGCTATAAAATATTTTGCTCTGATATAATTTAGAACAATTTTTCTCTAAAGTTAGTGACTCAAAGCAGAAATAAACAAATGCACGGTGGAGGGACTACAACAGATGGTTGTCACTTCTGCTGTTTGGATGCCTTTTTATCTGAAAACCCTGCACAGACCACTGCTCAGCTCCATTCTTTCACCCAACATTTATTAAGCACCCACTGTATATACAATCCAGTTACTATGCATGGTGATAGGGGTTCAAAGGCAAATGCAAAAGCAAACATTTTGCAAAGAGAAAGAGACTTTAGAGAGAAGGTAACACTGGAACTGGGCTTTAAAGAATGCAAATAAGGGCTGGGCACTGTAGCTCATGCCTGTAATCCCAGCACTTTGGGAGGTCAAGGTGGGCGGATCACGAGGTCAAGAGATAGAGACCATCCTGGCCAACGTGGTGAAACCTCGTCGCTACTAAAAACACAAAAATTAGCTGGACGTGGTGGTGCACGCCTGTAGTTCCAACTACTCAGGAGGCTGAGGCAGGAGAATTGCTTGAACCTGGGAGACGGAGGTTGCAGTGATCTGAGACTGCACCACTGCACTCCAGCCTGGAGACAGAGTGAAAGTAGGTCTCAAAAGGAAAAAAACAGAATGCAAATAAGTAGATGCAGTTTGAGCTCCAACACCGAAGTCATTGTCATTTCTTCCCATAGGTGGGAAGCCGCCATGTTTTTCTCCAGTCTTCCACAGTTTACACGCTCCCACTTCGTTCCATGATGTCTGTAGGACATGATTTCTAGGTATTGCTCTCACTACCCTGATCAACAGGCTCTAGAAACTACATCAATTTTTTAACATCCTTAAAATACGTAACCCAGAACCAACTATTCCGATCCTTATAATGTTTGAATCGATCACAAAGATCTAACTAGTTTTTATAAGGTTATCAGAGATTATCTCAAATACTTTGGTGAAATCAAGACTTGCCAAGAAAGTTCATTTGTAAGCAGTAGTTGAAGTAAATGAGAGAGCATCTTCAAATGTGAGATGTTATTACTCTGTGCATCTAATAATCTAGACTTCCTCCTCCAAAGAAAGAAAGAGAAGGAAGGGGGGGAGAGACGGAGGAAAGAAAAAAGAAAAAAGAAAAGAAAAGGAAAGAAAAGAAAAGAAAAGAAAAGAAAAGAAAAGAAGAAAAGAAAAGAAAAGAAGGCAGTACTTAAAGGGAATGAGTCTGGGCAAGGCCTATTAGTGGAATCCATGTTGATTCCTGGTGACCACCACATTCTTTTCCTAAGCACATATAAGATCTCTAGTCGGTTATCGGGTCTTACAGTTTGGCCAGGAACTGTTATCAAACTTACTTTATGTCTTCAGCTTCTAGAAACTAATGTTTCCTATTAATTAGGACATTCCTCCATCTCTATTTTTCCGGTAATTTCTCACAAGATTATGACATGAGTGACCCTGAGATCATGGGTAAAAATTCCACTTGTGATGCAGATGTATGCATCTATAGGAGCTCTGAGTGGTTTTTCATGTGGTCCCCTTAGTTCAGGCTCTAAAGCACCCTCAATAATGACTATTCTGTCCTTTCTAGTTTTGAAGGCCATTCTCTGATGAAGATGGCAAGTAAAAAGTGCTTATCTGGGTAAACTGTTCTGCGTCCTTCATTAATATCATACCATCCTGCCTAAGCACTTCTGCATCTCGTTTATTCTTGGCACAGCTTTGAAAGCCGTTTCAGCCCCATTGCATGCTTTCCCCAAGCTGCTTCCTCCTCTCTTCTCCAACCTGTCTGACACTATATCCAGAGGTCCTTGCTACTCTTAGATATTTTCAGTTGGTTATAGGTGACTTCTTCAGTGTTTGCTCCAGGATTCCAAGATCTTAGCATAGAGAAGGCTTCTTGGGAAGACACACTCAGGATGGGTAGAGAGGGGCATCCAAAAAAGACAGAAGTGCAAACATAGAGAAAGTGTGAATACATTCAAAAGAGTTCATAAAATACAACTTCTAAAATTTCTCCATTTAACTTGTCACCACAGATTCTTGCACTGCTAGTCTCCATTCTGCACTTTTTTTTTTTTGAGATGGAGTTTTGCTCTTGTTGTCTGGAGTGCAATGGTGCGATCTCAGCTCACTGCAACCTCCACCTCCCAGGTTCAACAAGGACAAAGGGAATAGAAGGGAATCTGTAAAGCCACACTAGAATATTTTCACTACTAAAAATCCTGCGTGTAATTCTGACCACAATGTGTTCTAAAAGGGCTATAAAGAAATGCTAAGGTCTGACTACCAAGCTCAGCACCTGCATAGCCATGGGGCCTTGAGAAACTAATTTTTCTTTGAGCCTTAGTAACTCATCTGTAAAACTGGAATCGAAACAACAATCTTATCTGATCATTCTGAAAAACAGAGACTGCAACGTAGAACAATGCACTTAATAGTAGCTGTCTTATTACCAAGATTAACACCAAGAATAATAATTTTATTATTACCAAGATTAAAAATATTTTATTATTACTGCTTTATTATTACCAAGATTAAGACCATAAAAGAGTTACCACATCCAAGTTTTGGTGTTTATGTCCCATCAGAGGCACCATAGGAATGAACAGCCAGGATGAGTATGTGTCTGCGTAAGCATCGTAAGCTTCGGTTTCAGTTTTTTAATTGCTGCCAACATTAATGCTTGTTCTATCCAGTAACTGTTTCAAAGTAACTGTTCAAACAGCTGTTGCTTATAAATCTGGCTAGACCTGGCCAAATACAGCTCATCGGAGGGAATCAGGACAAGAGGAAAAGCCCACCCTTTAGAAGTTCCTGGCAGCAGCAGATTCACTCGACATTTCCACCTCGTGGCACACTGCATGGGAAGGGTTACCAAGTCCTGAAGATCAGTGCTACCTAACGCCTGTACAGGAAACGGCAGGAGACAGAGAGCTCTGCTCTGCCTTCCATTCTCCCTATCCTATCTCCTCTTTCCCTGAGCAAAGTATTGTCACAATCAACCTGTAGCAGATGTGTCCTGTGCTTTTCAAACATACCAAAGCCCTGCTCGTCTTTAAGTCAATTCCATAGCAAAGAGGTTTGTTACAAAGAATGTAAAAGAGCTCACGTAAAAATAGTGTTTCCCTCTCTGTTTAAAAATTACTCAGCTGATGCACTTATTAGCTTCTAATCTACAATAATGATGATTTTTTTTCTTTACCTCCATCTGCTTACAGAACAGACACACACACACATACTTAAGAGACTTCAGTTCTTATAAAGCAAAACAAAATACAAAAACTGCTAGTAAATTTCTGAAGCAAATGTCATTATTTCACATGCAAAAAAATAAATAAACTAAGTACTAATCTGGGGCTGCCATTTCTCATTCCTATTTTTACTCACAAATATTCAAAGAAATGTAAAATTACTAATACAGTATGTTTTAAAAATCGAAATATCAAATATTCTAGTGTGGAAGGGTCAAAAGTCCATGCTGACCATTACTGCTCAAAAGCAATGATTTCTAAGCACTTCAGATGGGCAACACCCTGGTATGGGATCACAGAAAAGGACCGGCAAGGTCATTAGAACAATTCCTTTGACCCTGTCTCACCTCATCTCCCATCCCTCATCCTGTGAGCTCAGGATAGAGGTAATTTAAAGCTTGGTAAATCTGGATTTAAGACAGTAAGATTCCAAGGTACCCAGCTATCTCCGGAGACTTGATTACAGCTAAATTCTTGGCATTTTCTTTTGCTCCTCCCCCATCTGTTGGAATGTCCACAGCTTTTTAAGACATAGACCAGGAAAAAAAAAAAAAAAGAAAGAAAAAAGAAAAACTGAGAAACCAGAACTAAAAGAGTCATTTAAGGTAGTAAGGCTCCTATTTTGTTTCACTTTACAATATTCAATAACCTCAAAAATACAACCTTGAAAATGTGCTCTCTCACTTAGTAGGGAAGACAAGCAATGACATTGCTACTATACTTATTTACCAAAAACTAATAAAGTTTTTAAATCTAAGGTAAGGAATATATGAATACTCCCTTCAGTAAAATGTGTTCACAAATGAGGAAAAAAAATCCCTTATGTGATAATTATATCAATTATATGTTACCTAAAAAGGGTTAAATCATCCGCACTAATATTCCTCTTAAAAAGTATTTACCATTGCATTTTTCCCTAAAATGCTTTCCAAAGTATTTCCCTAAAATACTTTCAAAACCTGGTTCTGCCTGTTGGAACTCGAGCACGCCCCCTTCCAGATTCTGGGTCACAGCGAGTCCATTCCTGCGTGCCTTTGACTGTTCAACAATCGAAGGAAGAGCTGTGACTACACAGGTGTCCTGCCACTTAGGATAAGCAGGCATTTAGACTGTATAAATCACTCTCACTAGAGAGGCCCGACACACCAATTACATTCACATCTGCTTACTTGCTCTATGCCATACAGGGATCCAACCCTCAAAGAGCTCACGCCTCATGGGCGGAGAGACACACATTTCTCACCATAAAAACCGGCCTGAGCTGGGTCATTGTGAAGGTGTCAATGACACACAGTTGAATCGCAGAGAAGGAAGTGATTTTCCAGCTGTGGGTGTGGTGGTGAGGTGGGCTGAAGACAGGTGAGCAGAGAGGAGGAGGAGGATGTGAATTCCTAGCAAGTACGTGACATTTCCGGAGAAAGGCAATAATCTAGAGTAGTGTTTGGTGACCCGCCCACCCGATTCTCCCCACCTGTCTCAGCTCACAGTGGAGTCGCAGGGAGGGCTTCAGGACAAGAAAGGGACATTTTGTATTAATGGCACTTTGTATTAATTTGTATTAATGGTGAAGAAAACCAGATCCTTTCAGAAGTACAACTCTGGTATTGGTGTGGAAGATGAATTCCAGAGAGAAGAGACAGGAAGTGCAGGTCAGAGTTAAAGCGTCATGGAATTGTCAGGGCAAGAGATCACATGAGAGCCTGAACCCAGAAGGAAGGGCCTGGAGGAGGAGGAGCAGCCTAAAAATGCAGGCTGGAGCGCTGGAAAATAGAAGACAGCTTTGTGTGTGTGTTGGGGACATTTTTCATGATTTCCCAGTTATACACACGGCAGGAACTCTTGAATAGGGAAAAGGAAATACTTAATATGAAATACCTTGCAGCCCCTAAATCCAAATATATTACTGCTGGTGAGAAGAGATATATAAGCAGCCTCTTAAGATTTTATAATATTTTATCCCCATGATTCACATGAAAATCCAGCCAGCAAAATCAATAATGGAAAAAAGAAATACCCATTTCTTGTATTTTCAAGTGTTTTGTCACCTGGAAGGTGTACATTAGTTAGTAAAAGTACCGACGAATGTTTTACCCCTAAGTACAGGAATGGAGATCATTGCTTTGCATGGCACAAATAAAAGTAATTTCAGAATGTGTTTGAGCATGTCGCAATGAAAAAGAGTATGTAGGTCCAATCTCTGCATGCACAAAACAAACCGGCTATGGAGACAAAGGAAATGTAGGCAGAGGAGGAGAAACACTGCGAGGCCAACAAATAACAGAAAATGAAAATATGCACACAACTCACAGCCTCTTACAAGTACTGAAGGATAGCAGAAAAAAAGCAAGCACACAACCATGAAAACACTTTCAAAGTTTAAATGTGCTGAATCAATGAAAGACGTTATTAAGTAGTGGGATTCACCTTCGACCTCTATCTGTACTATGGATTTAAATGTCCCTCATGAAGTTCCAATATCATTTGCTTCTATAGTGTGGGGGAAAAATGATTATAATCAGCAATATTTGTCAACTTTTCTTGTTTAATGTGAATGTACAAGAATCCATTGTTAATATTAGCTGCCCCTAGGAAAGAAAATGGTATTGGGGAAAAAACAGGAACTCTAAATGTTCAGTGTATTTCTGTGGTATTCAATTTCTTCATAATGTGTAGGCTTCACGTACTACTTATATAGTGAAAAATGCATTTTAAGAATAAACAAGTCAACCATTTTGTTCGTAAGAAACATTATTATAAATTGGCATTGCATTTAAAACCTACTGTGCTTCATGTCTTAAAGACAAAAATAATTAAATGCCTAAAAAAAAATCAGATCATTGAAAAAGGGAAAATGATGATTTGCAAATAAATATTTATTATAATTATCTAATAATTTGGGGGGGCTGAAATTTAAAGTTTTTCCAAGTAAATCATGAGTAGTTACGTAATCAGCAAGTCCCACAAAGCAAAAAACAAAAAGTTTTCTTTTGACTTTAAAAAAAACAAACATGTATTTCAATGAAGAAGTTACACAATTAAGGAATACAGACATTATATTCCTTAGCTACAATCTTGCAGTTAGTACACAAGAAGCGAATAAAAAAATAACTGGACATTACAAATCTGCTACAGTAACAACAGACACTTAAATATCCAGACACATATATTTGATGTCCGATATTTTTAAAGGAAATAAACATTTGGCACACACCTCAACTGACCACTTTTAGTGCCTAGATTTGTTACATTAATAACAACAACCCACCAAAGCCTAAAGCTGGATTACTATAACCACAGGACTCTTCTGTGTTTTGGGAGAATACTTACTCTTTTTAAGTTCCATATTGAAATATCAGCATACATTTAGCTAACCCTAAGAAATATTTTTAAGAGTCAAAAAAAGATTAACCATGAGGTTAATCTCCATTTACACTTTGGATTTAAATCTGAAAACAAAGGGATGATCTTTTGAAAAGATGGGAAATGTTTAATCCAGCACTGCTGCACTTTGGCATTACTGACATTTGGGGCCAGATGATTATTTTGTCGGGGGTCTGTCCTGTGCATGGTGGGATGTTCAGCTGCATCTCTGGCCTCTAACCACTGGAAGCCTTCTCCCACAATTATGACAGCAGAGAGGTCTCCAGACATTAACAAGTGTCGTCTGGAAGGTAAAATCACCCCTGGTTGAGAATCACTGATAATCCAATGCTTGGACCATAACCAAAAACTTCAGAATTATAGAAAAGGTCAATTCTCATTTTGGAAACAATTACAACTCAATTAATTCTCAAGTTGGAAACAATTATAACTCATAATACACAATGAGAAGTGGGACCATCACAAAGTAAAATGGGTCGGGTGCAGTGTAGTCCCAGCTACTCAAGAGGCTAAGGCAGGAGAATCGCTTGAACTCAGGAGGCAGAGGTTGCAGTGAGCCAAGATCGTACCATGGCACTCTAGCCTGGGACAACAGATCAAAAGAATCCATCTCAAAAAAAAAAAAAAAAAGTAAATGAGTCAAAAATACTAACCCACACATAGCACATTCCTCTCCATAATTACTGGTTTATTTGAATGAGATCTCCATCTAGAACTGCACCTACACCTAGAGAAAAACTACCACCTATCACTATGATCACATACAGCTACCCACATATACACACAACCCCGCCATCTGTATCAACTGCTGATCATTTGCTGAAACTGCCCATTAATTCCTGAACGCCCATTAATTCCTGAATCAAGGAACGCCCCTCCAAATTCAGTGGTCACCAGAGAATCTGGTGGGATCTCTTCCACACTAATCTGTGAGGCCTTCCAGCTCCTATTCTATGACGTGTTCTCTGACTTTGATTTTCAAAACATACACTTTCGTTAATTTTGTCTTCACTTTCAATCTTTCCACTTTTTTGGGGACAACATTCCTTATACAAATTCACTTAGCGTCTAAATCCAAATCTATATATATTTAGAGCTGGATCTAAATATATGTAGATATAATATTTAGATCTAGATCCAAATATATGTAAAGTTATATATATTGTATCTAGATCTAAATATATGTAGATTCGGATTTAGATTTTTTTTCTGTCTATATATATATGCATATATACAGATATAACTCTATATATAGAGAGATATATCTACACATATTTGGATTTGGCTTCCAAGGGAATCTATATATACATATAGATAGATATATAGAGATATATCCAAATCTAAATCTCCTATTGCTAATTTCATTTCATTCATTGAAAAATATTGATTGCAGGCCTTCTCTGTGCCAGGCATTGCTCTAGCCAGGAGTACATCTTGGCATACATCAGTGAATAAGAAATTTTAAAAAGACAAAGATCCCTAGCTGATGGGGGAAAAAAAGACCAAGGTAAGGAGTCACTGGGAGGATAGGAAGTCTGGCAGGGAGAGTCTGATTGGTTCATTCCCCACCAAGAACTTTCCTATTAAAATACCAGGTGACCTGGAAATTCTGCTTCTCCATCCTTCTCATGGCCAGAATGTTAATATCCAACCTGTCCTGTCTGACACTGGCTTCTATTGACGCTGACTCTCTCTTTATACATCCTCACATTTATCCTTTCTTCTTAAAGTTTATCACTGCTACATCTCTTGACATTTTCAGATGTAGTGAAGGATCCTGCTTTTGAATTTTCATGTCCCTGGAACTATTCGCCTTCCCACTCTGACACTGTCTGTTGATGGCCTCGCTCTGACATTTGACTTCAAATGAACCTGCAAGAAGTAGTTTCAAGTATTCAGCTATTTGCTACTCCCTGGGCCACTTCTACTACTTCTACTTCTACCACTATAATCTAACCAACAGTCTGTATTTCACAGAGGCCCTTCATGCCTGAAATGTTATTTTGACCATTTTTAAGCAATTTTCTCTTATCTTCAAGGTCCAGTTTACTCTACTTTTGACTTTGCTTCCAGGCAAAAGGAAATAAATGTGCTCTCCAGTACATTAAAAGTACATCTTTGGTAAGTCCCAACTTAAATACGTAAGACATGTGGTCTACAAAGAATGCAAAATATTCAAATAATAAATATGTGAATCTTAAATGATAATTACTATTTACTCTGTAATAAACTTAAACTCCAAGTGACCTCTGGATTTACCTCAAAAGCTCTGAGTTTGAGAATAATTTCTTCCAGCAAATGCATATCTTTGGAAACCAAGACCTTCAGTTTGTTCCACTGTCCTTGGACATCATCAAATTCTTGCTTATATAATTTTTCTACATCAGGGTGAACATTTTTCTCCAGAGCCTTTGTTTCATCTGCAAGTTTATGTAAGGTGGGTTTCTGATTCTCAAGGATTTCATCAAGGGCCTGGAAAAAGTTTTAAAAGATTAAAAATAAACACAACAATGTGTCTGCACAGATATAGTAAAATGGGCTATATAAAGTCAAAAGTCACTTTAAAATCCATTAGAAAGCATTTTTATCTAAAAAGAACAGTGGATGGGAGTGTAAATTAGTTCAACCATTGTGGATAGTGTGATGATTCCTCAAAGACCTAGAACCAGAAATACAATTTGACCCAGAAATCTTACTGGGTATATACCCAAAGGAATATAAATCATTCAGTTATAAAGATACACGCACACATATGTTCATCGCAGCACAATTCACAATAGCAAAGACAAGGAATCAACCCACATGCCCATCAATGACAGACTAAATAAAATGTGGTACATATAAAACATGAAAATATAAACCATGGAATACCATGCAGCCATAAAAAGGAACGAGATCATGTCCTTTGCAGGGACATGGATGGAGCTGGAAGCCATTATCCTCAGCAAATTAATGCAGAAAAAAAAAAAAAAAAAAAACAAATACCACACATTCTCACTTATAAGTGAGAGCTAAATGATAAGAACACATGGACACATGATGGGGAACAACGCAAACTGGGGTCTGTTGGAGAGTGGGGGTGGCAGGAAGGAAAGCATCAGGAAGAATAGCTAATGGATGCTGGGCTTAATACACAGGTGCAGCAAACTACCACGGCACACGTTTACCCATGTAACAAACCCACACATCCTGCACAAGTACCCCTGAACTCAAAATAAAAATTGGAATTCAAAAAACAAAAAAAAATGTGGAAAACTCATGAAAAGTGAGCATAATCATAAAAGTTAAGACTTTTTCTTCATGAGTTGTTGTGTGTGGGCAATATAATGGATTCTCAACACTAAAATCCAAGGGGACAGCACACCCAGTATGGGCCAAGTGTGCAGTGGTCAATGGCTGCTCTCTTTTTCATCTGATAAAATAGTACAGAGCCATCGGGCTACTCAACTAAATGACCAAGGAAACATTCCTTTTCAATGCAGAAAAAAATATACAACAACCAGGTCAACTGATAGTCCTCCTTTCATTACAGATATTTTAGCAAATTATGAACAGATTGAGATTTTAAGCAGAAGGAGAAAGTATGCTTTTCTTCTATGAAAAAATATTTAATAACTGTATTTTCTTTTATGTGAGGTCAAACAAGCCCTTCAAATCATGAAAATAAATTTGGACCAATGTTAAACAAAACTGATCCATTTTTTATTTAAAAATTTTTTTAAATATATAAGAGGAGATATTAGAAGGAGTGTTAAGAGTCCTAACACGGAAAATATGAATTACCTTTTTTTCTTGCAGGGCCTTCTCCACCTTGGCAAGATCATTAAGGACATTCAGAGATGCTTGGGCCTTATTTTCTGAATCCCTTAGCACATCTTTCAGTGTTTTCAACGTTTCCAGATATGCATGTCCAGGTTGGACCTTCAGTTCTGCTTATTCAAAAACATTTAGTCTGAGAAAATCCTGTTAGGAACCCGTATTATTACATATACCATTATCCTAAGTGAATTCCAATACATGGCAAAGGAGGCCCCATGATTAAAATGTAAAAGGGTCTCTGTAAATTAATAACATAGATCATTCCACTGGCATTTCTGAGAGTCAGACAGTGACTTCATTCCTGCAGATGTTGACATTTGAAATATTAACTAACCCACTATAATTTTTCTTCATTTCTTCATGATGAAATGTCTCTCTGATGATGGAACACTGTCCCTTTTGTCCCATACGATCTCTTCTTCCTTAATAGCTACACAAAGAATGAAAGAAAACACAGATCCCCTCAACTAGTCTTGCTGTAAGCTCCACCGTGTAGACAAACCCATCTACAGAGTGGAGGAAGTTATATGGAAATACTGCCAGCATGCTGCCCAGGTACATTGAGAAATAATGAGTGCAGCAGCCAGCTGGAACAGTGTCTACCTCCATCACTAATGTAAAAATCATGTGGAAGTAACACTTGGGTGGAAAGGAAGTGAGTTCTCTTGAAGCACAAAGAGGTGAAACCAACTATCAGCAAAAGTTAAACCGCCTACTGATCCTTGTCCAAAGTGAAAGCATAGTGTGTACCGGTAAGTGGAGAAACAGGTACCCTGGAAGATTTATTTCACATAACTGAATTCAAGAAACAAAGACATGCTGTGCAGATGCACTTTCAGAAGACAGGCAACATGACACATTTGCCTAATATGCACACACGGAGATACTTCCAGTCACCACACAATCTGCAATTGCTGAAGTTATGCTATGGTTGCATGTGGAGCTTTTCAATGTGCACTACCCAAAATCATAATGCACTATGCAACACAGTTCCTAACTCATATGGCGGCTAGGAAGTAAATACTGTAATGTAGGAGGGATGAGCTTTCAAAACGTTGAATAGTGAATATTCCAAAACCAAGCATATTCCAAAAGTAAGAACTCTAAAATTTTTCTGAATCTGATAGTGGAATATGACTTCTTTTAAAAGAGAGTATGGTATTGCTAAAACTTTAACCATTTTGAGGAAACAGAACTAAGGAATCAGTCATTTTAATTCTCCTAGCAATGATATTAAGTGGCCTCCTCAACCAAAAGAAGAAATCACACTCATTTTTCCAAAAAAAGGAAAGGAAAAAAACCCTATTTAAAAAGCATTATATCCAGGTCAGGTACAATGGCTGACACTGGTTATCCCCACATTTTGGGAGGCTGAGGTGGTAGGATCACCTAAGCCCAGCCTGGGCAACTTAGCTAGACCCTGACTCTACAACAAATAAAAAAATAAAAAATCTAGCCAGGCGTGGTGGTGCATGCCTTTGTCCCAGCTACCCAGTAGGCTGAGGTAAAAGGACCACTAAAGCCCAGGAGGTCAACAAGACTGCGGCTGTGATTGCACCACTGCACTCCAGTCCGGGTGACAGTCTGAGACCCTGTCTCCACAAAAAAAAAAAAAAAAAAAAAAAAAAAAAAAAAAAAAAAAAAAAAAAAAAAAAAAAAAAAAAAAAAAAAAAAAAAAATTTATTATATCCTACTGATACAATTTTAGAGCATGTGAAACTTGTATGTTTACAAAAAGGAGTGAATCTGGAAAAGAATCTGAATAAAGGAGACTTTAAGACTTTGAACAAACAGGCACAAAAGAAAATGGAGAAGCTTGGTGCAAAGCAAGCAAATATACTCAAGTTCTAAATGTGGGGAATCATTTTTAAATTAAGGCAAACGGATAGAGGAGATATTAAAATTGCTGGGTTTACCATTCTCTAGCTGCTGTTGACGATCCTCTAAAGCCTTTTGTACAGCTTGGTAGCAGTCCAGAAAGCTATCGAAGCCCTGCTGGACAAAATCTGGGGCAGAAGGCTGAGACTTCAGGGCCGAGCAGCTCGCACGTGCCATTTCAATTTTGGGGCAGAGGCCAAGGAGGTTTGTCAACTCCCGCTAAGGAAGAGAAAATATGGTCACATAACTCACTGAAGATGAACATCCTCACCGGAAGTTAATCAGGGCAGCATTAACTTAAAGTTCATGATATAAGAAGCACCCTCCTTAACTCTAGGGCTAAACACAGAATTCCTCCATGCTCCAGGTGGTTGGCACCTTACCCGGCAGGAATCCTTCAGGCTTGGCAAGGACTGCCGGGAAGATTCAGACACGGAAGTGTGTTTTACCCACTCCTCCTTTGTCTTGATGACCTTTTCAAGCTCATCGAGCTGCTTGAAATAAGCATTTATATCTTCCTGTAGCTGAATCTTTTTTCCCAGATCTTCCAAATGTTGAGATACATTGTTCCATTCTGAAAAAAGCTTCTCCAGAACATTTTTTATTTCTTCAGTAGGAAGGCCTTCTATGCAGACATAAAAAATAAGCAAACAGTCTATATATTACAAAATGTGTCCTGAATTTATTCTAAATGTTCTAACATTCAGAATAGTGAGGCAGTGTCACATATAATGATCACTTTCTTACGTCCCTTTTAATACAACAAAAAATATGATGCACTTCAAAATAATTACACTTATTTCAATTCTTTGACCAAAGAAGGAGGGCATTTTAAAATAATGATTCAGGCCAGGCACAGTGGCTCATGCCTGCAATCCCAGCACTTTGGGAAGCCAAGGAGGATGGATCACGAGGTCAAGAGATCAAGACCATCCTGGCCAACATGGTGAAACCCCATCTCTACTAAAAGCACAAAAATTAGCTGGGCACAGTGGCAGGCACCTGTAGTCCCAGCTACTCAGGATAATCACTTGAAGCCAGGAGGCAGAGGTTGCAGTGAGCCAAGATCATGCCACTGGCAACAGAGTGAGATTACATCTATCTCAATAAATAAATAAATAAAGATTCAGGAGCAGTGTGGCTATTGCAAAAGGCAGATCAGTAGAACTTCAGTCACTGCCTTTTCTAGATAATGTATGTTTCCATCCATGGCATGCTTCCACTCTGCTAGTTTATCATCTGAGCCAGTGAAATAAGATCAACTACAGTGATCTGTCTAGGGCAGCTGGCTAGAAAATCTAGGAGGCACCTCGAGTCTTTGGTGACCAAAGATTTGTGAATTTGGTATCTTATAAATTAAGAAATGAATGGCAAGAATGCCTTATGCTGGGAAGCACCCTGGTAGTGCAGGGATATTAAGCCAGCAGCTGGGCTCTAGAAGCATCAGCAAGCCCCTTGGGCACCCTGCACATAGGTAAGCAAATACCAAAATACCGAGGCAGCAATAAGATGATCTGCTTTAGAAACACATCAGGGAAAACAATGCCACCATTTTTATTACCGAAATCTTATCATTTCGTTTGTCTGGTATTTTGAAAAGTAGAGAATGTTCCTAAAAATAATAAAGTTATATATAATAATAGGGATTGTTTTGTTTATTTTTGAGACAGTCGTGCTCTGTCGCCTAGGCTGGAGTGCAGTGGTACAGTCTCGGCTCACTGTAACATCCACCTGCCAGGTTCAGGTGATTCTCCTACCTCAGCCTCCTGAATAGCTGGAATTACAGGCGCACCACCACATCCAGCTAATTTTTGTATTTATAGTAGAGACGGGGTTTCACCATGTCGGTCAGGCTGGTCTTGAACTCCTGACCTTGTGATCCGTCCACCTCGGCCTCCCAAAGTGCTGGGATTACAGGCATGAGCCACCGCAGCCGGCCAATGATAGGTTTTATCATAGTCTTTCCCTTCATCTAAAATACCTTCAAATCCTCCAAAATGACTATGAAAAAGTATGGGAAATCTTCAAAGGAATATTTCTATTCAGAGGAGAACATGCATAATGAAAGGATGGGCTTCACATTTTTATTGAGTAGGAAGGCAACGAAACAATTGTGCCTTGTAAACATATGTAATCAAAATCCAGGATAATGAGAGCTTGAACTGAAAAAAAGGCATAAGAACAAAAAGTCACGTATGATCCACAGACAATGCAACTTTGAAAGTTTTTATAATACATTGTGTCCACTGAAAATTATAAATGAGAGCATATCATGCTATAATTTGAATGTATTGCCTCTGTCGATTGCAGAAGTTCACTGTTCACCACCACGTCTCAGGTAATAGAATATGAGACCCTAAGCAGAGCATTCACACCACAAGCCACGCTGCATCACCCTGTTAATGGAAAGCGTATACAAAACAAATCACCATTTTCCTAACAATCTGAACGATGGAGACATGGGCTGTGCCTCTGCTCCGTCATTTCTATTCTAGATAGGCAAAGGAATAGTAACATCAGCCACATCATCTTTGTGCTGGACAATTTACACTAATCAAGGAAGAAATTAAGTAGGTAAATAAAATTTCTGAGATGGAAAATTATTACTACTCATCTAGAAAACCAGAAAGAGGTGCTCACTTCAAGAACAAGGGCAGTTAAAAAAAAACTTCAGTTATTTATTCACTGACAGTGTCTTTACAAGCCATTCGTTTTGCCTCTTTAAAAGTTTTAAACATCTGAATCACCCTTTCTCTAAATGTGAGATATTGCTGGTTACAGTGACATCCGGTAATGATTCAAACACAATTTACATCTTATAAAAGGAAAACTGCACATTGTCTTAAAAACAGTTGTTTTACTCACAGAGATCCAGAGTTTAAAATTTTCTGTTTATATATAACACAAAGTTCTTGATGACTAGTCAAAAGGCAAAATCAACAGCATATCATTTTATTAATTATCTAAAAGAGAGAAAATATATTCCTGCCACTTAGGCTCACTTGACTTTATACTGCTCCATCTATTACTACTGGAATCAAGGGAAATGTTTACAAAACATAGGACCTTCACCAAATTTCATGGGCTTGTATGCTTAGTCAACCACCGTGGGCATCAATTCATAAAGCTGCATTATCCAGGTGGCCAACTACTGTATTTTATTGGTTGAGGATCTCTAGGAACAAGATAAGCTAAACAAAGAAAACCAAGTATAACAGCTATGAAAATCAAATGAACCACAGGATTTATTTTCTAAAAACCTTTTTATACTGAATGAGATATCGCAAAACTTAAATAAAACACATTAGGCAGGAAAGAACTATCGGAATTAGCTATGGTGGGCTTTTGGATAGAACTGGTTTCAGAAAAACAGTGACGTGATTATTCAAACATGTGTTTTACTAAAGAATTTGACATGCCTCCCTAACTGACCTGGAACATACAGACTTTATTCAGTTCAGCTCCCCCATTTCCCAGCTTCCCTTTAAATTAAAATTTTAATTTAAAAATTAAAAAATCTTTAAACAGATTTTTTTTAAAAAAAGAAAGTATTAGGGTCCTCTAATGAATGCATTTCTAATTCCACCAATGTTTGAAAAAAATGATAATGCAAAATATAAAAGGTTTCCTATGAAAATGGACAAGTATACATTCGGTAACAAAAGCCACACGCCATCTATTCTCCAGTGCTACATTTGGCCTTTTGCAAGTAGCACTTTCATGTGGATTCAATGTCCAGGGTGTGCCTGTTTAGGACCTGCTTATGGTAATATTTTACGGAGCAAATGCTGTAGTCAGCTAGTAAACTAATAGTCGGCTAATAAACTAATAGCTAAGAGTCAGCTCATAAACTCCCTCACTTTCCAGACACCAAGACAAAAAAACAAAAGGGCTCCAAGACTTTCCAAAGGATAAGAAACTAGAAAAAGATAGGAGAATCCAAGTTTGCCCATTCCTCCACTCACTGTTACTCATTATTATCGTCACCTCACACCAACTTCTCATCTACATCAAGTCTTCCCCGTCTTCATAATTCTGCCACACTGACTAAAACCTGACAGAAATGGGAGTAAATTCAGTACACAGATTCAAGAAGTTGTCCCATATTCACACCAGAAAGTCAGAGTCACCAGGTAAAATGTTGAGGTAGAAGTTAAAAAACTATGCTTATTATAAAGGAAATAAATTCAACACCCAAAGCATTATAATTATTGAATGAACCAGTATCTCAAGGGAAGTTATCATCTGTATCTCTGGATCTCTTCAAGTAAATACTGGAAAGAGTAATCTCCAAGTGGGATGCCCAAATACAGAATAAATAAGACAGTCTGCTAGAGTGGATACTGAAAGAAAATATTAAATACTATTCTATTTAATTTACTTAAAGAAATTAACCTTTATTAATAATATACGGATTGATAATACATTTGCATAATTTAAAAATAAATGGACATACACTGCACACATGGTATCATTCCATATTTTGTGTGTATGTGTATATATTGATATGTTTGTGTGTGTATATATAATGTTTGTGTGTGTATATGTTTGTGTGCATGTGTGTGTGTATACACATATATAACCAGTATACATACTAAATAAACATATTTGTTAAAGGCTGGAGGCAAAATAATCTAAGGTCAAAACAACATGAACAGTTGTTTTCTGGATGGAGGAGGGTGACTAAGTCATGTATTTCAATGTAAGTAAATTTTACTTCCAAAAAAACTGTAAAAATAATAATTGAGAGGCAATGGAAAGATAAAGGTATAGATAATTAAAGAATGGCAGAATATTGTCAATTGTTGAAGCAGGTAACTGATACAAGGAAGTTCATTATAGTATTTCATTTGCTTTGTATACAGCTATATTTTCCATAACAAAAAGTCAAAGAGTAAAAAATTAAATGCTACGGCCTTAAAGATTCTTGTCAAACTAATATTCCTAATTCTGTCCAGGTATCTGCATAGGTGTCAAGGAGAGCTACAACAGACTCCCAAAGCGTCTACCATTATTAGACCAATGAACAGGGAGTGCAAAACATGTCTTTCAACATTTCTCTAGAAGAGAGATTCATATGCAAAACTGCACATGAAGAATATTAATCTTTAGCTTATTCTGAGTCACTGGGAGCTACAGCAAAATTAAAGAAAAAGGCTTCGGTGCAGTTAAAAATTTCATATACAGGTAACACCTTATCAAACTTAACTATAAAAATACTGTTTTAAATAAATATAATGCATTAAAGTTATCAAAAATCAAATATCCGTAATGAATTTAATGTAACTTCATTTCTCAAATGCTGCCTAAGTAAAGTTTTCTTTGGCTACCCCCCTGCAAAGCAAATTCCCAATATATAAACCCAAAGGATACATTTTAAAATATACGATACTAGTGGACTGGATTTTAACTGTTTTGCTGAGGAATCAGGGTCTCTGGCCCTGACCCCATATAAAATCAGAAAAACTTTGCTATTATCTATTTTTTCACAATCAGCTTCAGAATAAAGTTTCATTTTTTAAAAGATTCTGCTGCCTAAAAACATTTTTGAAAACCATTTCTGTAGCCAACAGAGGATTCAAGTGTTAAAGTGAGATATTTAATAGGGCAAACTGTAATATTATTCAATGCTACCATCTAAAAAATATGGGGAAAAAAAATCAAGAATCTCACCTTTTCCCATTTGTTCCACAAGGATTTGTCCGATTTGGTTTAATTCACCTAGTCTGGGGATTCTTTCTCTCTGTTCTTTTTCTAATACCTGGAAATGAAGTCCCAACATAAGAATAATGCAAACTTTCTTCTCAATATAATGTTGCTATTTTAAATGTTAAGGTTTAATGTCCTTTCTACATTCTCTTTAAACCTGAAAATAGGTTTAATGTCCTTTCTACATTCTCTTTAAACCTGAAAATATAAATTCAAACAGTAATCATAGCAACTACAAAACATTGGTTTCTTTTGTAAGAAAAAAAAAGTACACTATAATTATAAGCTCCTATCAGAAGGAAATTAAAATTATGTTTTGGATCCAGGATATCTATTCACATACATACCCTGAGTATGCCACGCCATAAAAATAATGTTTGGGTCAAAATAATTGAATGTGTTATGACAGAGATTGCTGAACAAAAATTAACTAACAAGGGAAAAGGATAGCCTGGGCATGGTGGCTCACATTTGCAATCCCAGCACTTTGGAAAGCTTAGGCAGGTGGATCACTAGAGGTCAGGAGTTTGAGACCAGCCTGGCCAACATGGTGAAATCTCATCTCTACTAAAAATGCAAAAATTAGCCAAGCTTGGTGGCACGTGCCTTTAATC